CTGTTTTGTGTTAGCAATGACCCATCGGCTGAGCGGATGGTGGTGCGTACGCTTGGACTTCCTGAGCTTCTTGATGAGACCCATGGGCTTGCGCTTAAGACCACGGTTGAACCTGCGGCGGGCACGGGCGTGGACGAGGTCGCGGAGTTCCTCAGAGCCAAGGTCGAGGAGCCTGTGTATCGATCAGAATACCGCCACACTTGTGTATATTTCCAGCGCGTTCGAGGAGTCGCGGGGATCGGAAGACGTACTGGTCGAGGTCAACGCCGCGGTAAGAGAACTTGCGGAACGCCCTCTTGGCCTTAAGGGCTGTTGTGTTCGTTAGCCATGTCCATCACGTTGTGCGTCTACGTATCCAGGGAGAGCGGTGCGGGAGTGTGGGAAGGTCTGGTGCGGAGGGCAAGGGCGTACCAGCTGCGGCCTCGGGATCGTAGTCAGCGTCAGCCATGTTTGCGGTTGTCGAAGTGATGGGAGAACTTCGTTGGGTCGCGAGGGTAGTTGTCGGTCGTCAGTTCTCGATGGGCGATATTGAAATTAGAGCCCTGGAGGTGTAGCTGCCCCGTGCGCTAAGCGAGACCTTTTAGCGCCAGTCCAGACGGGCAGCTGCGATCATGCAACAGTATTCACCAACACGAGAACGTCTATACTGATGTGAACAAATTCTCGATGATGAGTTGTCGCTTCATGGTTGTAATTAGAAACTGCATCATGGGGATCTTGCAACAGAATCTTCATATCAACCTCGCTTTACATAGGATGCGTTTAACAACTTCAAATACCTTATGACGCAGTGAGTTCACACGCGACCATCCTTCTCTAAGTCTAGATGACGATCTGAGATGTCGCTTCAATGCTTTTCCACATTCCATTATTCTGTTATGCTCGTTCATGGTAGCTGTGGTGTTCCCATACATCTCACTGTCGGTTCGCCCGTCGCAAGATTTGACATGACATGTCGCAGGCGGGCGAGTATGCGCCTTAGGCTCAGACTGGAACCTGGTCTAATTGGAGACAACGCATCTCTAGTCAAAGGTGTCCATACTAAACCATCACAGTCACCAAGCGAAATTGGTCAGGTATCACACAACACTAGTACACTTGCTGAATGTTTGAGGGTGCATGGCTTCATTCCGGGTATCTCAGCAGGCAATTAGTCTAGTAATGCCGCAGTGTCCTTCTCCATATCCCTTGTAGTGCTCGCTCGACACTCCCCAAATCGAACTCGTTGCGCATGATTCTCGTAATGATCGAGAGATTTGCTGGATCATACTTCGTGAAGAGAGGTGGTTTGGCGACGCGCTTAGTCGAAGAGTCCGAAACCCATGTCGTCGTCAGACTCCTCCTTCTCCTCCTCCTTGGCGGCCTCGGGGGCGGCCTCAGCCTCAGCGGCACCGCCAGCGGCAGCAGCACCACCGGAAGCGGCGGCGCCACCGGCACCACCAGAGGGAACGGAAGCAAGCTTCTCGGAACCGGAGGCGATGAGCTCGTTGATGTCCTTGCCCTCGAGCTCGGAGATCAGCTTGTCGAGACGGTCGGAGTCAGCCTCGATACCGACAGACTCAAGGACGGCCTATTGCGTTGTTAGAACGTGGTATAGCGAGTTGTACTGAAGGATTCCCTCTTACCTTGACATCAGCGGCGGAGGGGGAGGTGTTTCCACCGAGACCGAGGAGGAGGTATGCCGCGAGGTGCTTCATCGTGATTGTTGGGGTGGTTTGTCTGGAACAGGAGTTCAATCGATTTAACCTGCGCTTGTCAGTATTGCGCTGCTGGATGCGATTCCAAAGTGATGCGTACCGTCGGGGCCGGAGACTGAAGCTACAAGTTCTTCTGTAGGTTGTCGTAGAAAAGAAAAGTTCGAGGTCCGCGAATATTGACTTCGGGTGGGATCTCGCTACCTGGGCTATGCCGCAATGCGACTAGCGCAAAACGCCCGCCTTGTCACGTGCCGTCGGGCTAGGCGCAAAGCCATGTATAAAAGCGACTTGTCTGCGCCGCCGCCGACCGCTCATTCTCTGGCCGCTCCCCTCTTCAATCCACGACCGGTCCCGTGCGCCCATCCTCCTCTCCGCGCGCGTGATCAGTCAGCGCCGACTATCGACACCGGCGAATCTCACCCGGAAAGCATGTACAACTTGTCCTCCAATCGATTTGACGACCGGTAGTCTGAGTCAAACGCTTATCAGTTGCCCATCATGAGTGTGAGTCCGGCGACTCCATCCCCGCCAGCAGTCGTATGCTGACTGCATCATCTAGTCTCTCAAAGACATCATGTCTATAATCGACCGTACGGGCGCGAAGACGCAGGCGACCGTTTCGAAGCAAGGCCCGCCCGCCGGAGCCCCTAGGCCAGCGCCGCGACCGATCCCAGGGGCAAATAGCGCCTCGCAAACCCCCCAGCTGAAGCGCAAGGCCTCAGGTCCAGTCGAGAGCTCACAGGTCAAGATACAGAGGAAAGAGGCTGTCGGGGGATCAGCGCAGGCAAATGGTGCCGTGCGCGCCACCTCATCGCCTGCCACGTCGAAACCGGCTCCGTCCGCATCTACCACCGCCGTCCCGTATCGTGGCACTGCTGCACCAGCATCCTCAAAGCCGGCGAATCCCACCGTGCGGAAACCTCTACAGTCGTCAAACGCACCCGCTGCGAAACCGAAGGCTGCAGCTCCTGCACCCAAGCCTGCGCCCGCCGCCACCACCTCAACACCCGCCTCGTCTGCCGCACCCAAGAAAGGATATCTCGCTATGCTTCAGAAAGCGAAAGAGAAGGACTCAACGAAGCCTATCGCCCCACCAATCAAGCATGAACCAACAAAGATCCTTACACGAAAAGAACGCTTGGCACTCAAGGCAGAAGCAAGTGCCGGCGCAAAGGGCAAGAAGCCTGTCGCTGGACTACCCTCAAGAACAACAGACCCGAAAGCCGATCCATCAAAAGACAAGAAGAAGGCTGTCGACGTTGGTTATCAAGGCACAGCACGGCCTGCCAAGAAGCCTGTTGAAGTTGGCTACAAGGGAACCGCCCGTCCAGCAAGCGCACCTGCAACGTCTAGTCGAAACGGCACACCAGCCGTCAAGGCCAAACCGAACCCGGGCAAGGGACGCTATGACGGGTACGCAGACTGGGACGAGCTCAGTGAGATGGAGGACGAAGAAGAAGACTATGCCTCCGACGCTTCTTCTGATATGGAGGGAGGTATCTGGGACGTAGAAGAAGAAGAACAGATAGCCCTCAAGGTCGCTAAGAAGGAAGACGCGGAGGCACTAGCTGAGGAAAATCGGTTGAAGCGTGAGAAAGAAGAACGTAAGAAGAAGTTGATGGCTATGGCTGCTAAAGCGAAGAAGAGGTTTTGAAGTTCTTCGGCGTTACGGTTTACGATCACACGGCATGGGGGCGTTTCATCTGCATTCTCGCGATTGCATAGCCATGGAGCGGTTTCTTCTTTTTTCATGGCGCATTTACGGTTGTTGCATACCCGGAAGAACGATCATGGCTTCACAGTAAGCATCTCGCTGCAAGAGATTACAATGCAAGTAGTGTATATTTATAACGCCGTCGGCAATAATACCTTCAGGCTCCAACACATCACGGTACCCCTCTACTCCATTCCAACCTTACCGCATGGACTGTGCTCTGTCTGTGTTGTCCCTTCCAAACCATCGATATCACCTTTGCCGAGGATCAACGTGTCCAGATATGACCATGGCCACGCACCGCTCTGCGATTGCATTGAAGCGAGTGTTCAGCCAGCGCGTTCACAAACGCCCCTTTGTCACAACCGAGCACATGGAACTATCAAACAGCCCAGCATGTATCCTCACCACCGAACACTCATGTTCTGATCTCCTGTCCCTCTCAGACCGTCCAGTATCTCCGCCACCAAACTCCCAGTATCAGAACCACGACGATGCCATCCTTTCAGCGACTCAAACACCCATTTCGGCGCCCTACCCATTATTATACGATCCATGAGCCGTCCCCTACACCGAGGCAGCTAGAGACACAACGCGAGAAGGAGAGGCAAAGGGCTCTCGACAAAATCGAAAATGACCTCGATGACGGACGTATTGGGCCCAGAAGTAGTGACTCGCCTGACGAACTTCCGGTGATCATCGATAGGGGTCCGTACCGAGGTCATATATACCCGCGAGAGCAGCTCTTCTTTAACAGCATAATGCTGGCTTCGGACGTAGAACCGATATACGCTGGTCCACCAGGTGGACAGCTCCGGCAGGAGGTGCATAGGACTCCAATCCGGCGTCCGAAAACACAAGCAGAGCAGAAGCTGCCTCCAAGACCAGTACCAAGTGAGTACTTGACGGCATCACAGAATAGAGAAAACCTGAGGAGGTGGGAAGAGAAGAACAACAAGTCTGCTGCGGCTGGGCAAACACAGCATCCAAGGCCTGTACCGAGTGAGTATCTGACTTCTGCACAAAATACGGAGAATCTTAGGCGATGGGAGGAGCGAAACGGCAGAACTCCTACTGTTCGGCGAGCACAGGTTCCAGAGCCGCGACTTTCTCCCCCAAAACAACAAACTCCCCCAAGGGTGCCGATCACGCCAGGCACGAGTGAGTGGGATGGCTTCATGGACTTCCCCTCAGGTAATCATCAGTCCGGCGATCCTGGTGTACAGGCTACTGTAAATGAGTCGAGCGCATCAAACAGCCTGCCGACAACGACAAGTACCGCTGCCCGGCTGTATCCAACAGCGCCGCCTCGGACTACTGTTGATTCCGCATTGCAGACGGTTACACCTCTACCGCTAGTTTCAGCAGATCCTGTGAATATGCAAGCTCGAGCGGAACCTTCGACAGAACTGCCAGATCATTTCTCAGGCCGGACCGAGCAGTCTGAACTATTAACATGGCTTACGGCGCTTAACAGTATCATTCGAAACGATGTTGTCGATCCGACCACAAGGACAAGGATCCGAGAAAGAGTGCCTCACGACTCTACCACTGTTGATTCTAGGAACGAAGATACTCAGCCTATCACGATGACAAGCGCTGGTCTTGTTCCCAACTTCAGCTACCCTATTGCTGGAAGTGCGTTTCATGATCGACTTCATACTGAGCAGACGCCTCCATCGCAGTCACTAGAGGATATTAGGGGGAGTGAAGAGCAGGAGCAGCCGCTGACAAATGGTGTTAGTTCTGGACATCACAGCGATTCAAGTTCAAGCCGCACTCTCTATCGCTCTCCCACGCCCGATAACTGGCCATTACGAGGAGGCAACGACGAGAGCCCAGCTCTACTAACGAACGGTGTACATCCAGGCTACTATCCCCCATCAAGCTCTGGCGGGGACTCCAGTAATCCTGCCCTCCACTATCCACCTGCGCTTCCGGACAACGTGCCAGAACACGTCTTCAACCTCCTCTGTTCGCTACTAACACCGTCCGAGCTCGCCCTCCACTACGACGTCGTCCAAGACTCAGCACCTCCGCATTTGCCACCATTCCCTGCACTTGTGCCACCCAGTAATGCCGCGTCAGATATTCCAATAGTAGTGCGTCTTGTCCAAAGGTTACATGCTGCTGTCTACGGTCTCCAAGATCGCGTCTGGGGTCTAGAAGAAGATCTCATTCCACAGCTCAGCACGCAGCTCGAAGAGAACCACCTCCAGATCAGAGAACTCGATCGAGAAAACAGCAGTTTACAAGATGAGATCACCGAGCTAAAGCGCATAGCAGATTTCAGCACCAAAGTTTTGACTGGATGTTGGGAGCGCGAATGGGAGGTTTGGCGCACACTCCTCGATATCCAGAGACGGCGCGAAATGTACCGTAGTCCTTTGGCATGCATCTTCTCGCGCACCCCGACTCCCAGTGTTCAAGACGATGGGCTTTTAGAATTCCGTAAGCCAGAAGGCTATGTCGCCCCGCCTCTGCCGACTGGAAAAGTAACGCAGGGCTCTCTTAAGAAGAAGGAACTCGATGCTCTTCTGCTGATGGCAAAACAGAACGTCACTATACTCATTGAGGATCTGGGAGAGTTGAAGGGGTTGGCGGAGGCGTATGACAGGAGGAATGAGACAGAGGGGGAGGTGCGGCCTATTCCAGGGTCGCGGAGAGATGTTTGATGACATTCCTGGATCTGTAGTACAAATTTAGTGTCTTGTTGTTTTGATTTCATGTAATCGCAAGTGTTGGCTGCTGACCGTGAGTGCCCAGGTGAAGTGGCTGGGGTCCTCCCCACCTTCGCGCTGAACTTCAGCTCTGACGCGCCTACCATCCTAGACTCCTACACTGCGCGCACTCACAGCCATCGACCATATGCATTCATTGCTAGCCACTTGCCATGGCTGAGGTTGTTGGTACAGTTGCATCAGTCGCTCAGCTTGTCCAACTGAGCGGTGCCCTACTCGCTGGCGGCTACAACTTCCTATCGAAGGTCGCGCGAGCGCCCAGCGAGATCCGGAGTCTCCTGACGGAAACCGCGGCCGTCAACAGTCTTCTTGCGCAAATTCAGCAAATCGCAGATACGTCGCCCAAAGCGACTGCCGACGATGCACTGCAGGCTCTTGAACGGGTTGGTGTCTTTCAAGAATGTCAGTCCACGCTCAAGTCGATCGAGCGGGCGCTGGCAAAATGCGAGCAGGTCAATGGTCGAGATGCGAAGAATTTCGGGAGGAAATTGATGTGGCCGTTCAAAGAGAAGGAGACCAAAGATGCCCTGCAGAGACTTCATCACATGCGCGGATTACTTGCGAATGCTATCGAGGCCAACTCTGCGTGAGTATGCATGCCTCCCTATGAGTGTCTGGCCTGAACGGTCCACAGATCCGCGATTCGGCGCATCGAAACGGGACAAGGCCTAATCTCAGACGAGGTGAAAAATGTGTCTGAGCAGATCCGTGCGCAGATGAGCCGTGAGGAAGCACAGAAGGTAATGACGTGGGTCTGTCCAACGCCATCCGATGGTGCGCACGCAAGTCTTGCAAGCGCTTTGAGTCGCCATATTCCTGGGACCGGAGAATGGCTCTTGCAATTCAAAGAGTTTCAAGATTGGAAAGACTCAGATGATGGCACCATATGGATAACTGGTCTTCCTGGAGCAGGCAAAACGCTTCTCTGCGCTTCTATTATTCGCCATGTTCAACAGCTGTGCACGGATACCACTACGATTGTGTACTTCTTCTGCGATCATCGCGATCACGCGAAAATGACGCACGACAACTTCGCTTCGACTGTTGCGAGGCAAATAATGGAAGCTTCACCTTTATGTCTCGAGGAAGGCAGATCACTGTACAACGAGAAGTCTAGGGAAGGTAGTCGCCCCTTTCAAAGCGACGATTACTTGTCACTGATCTGCTCATCTTTGGCACATCTAAAGGATGTTTTCATCCTTCTGGACGCGCTCGATGAGTCCACTGAGGGGGATAGCATAGCCCGAAGTCTTGCGAGAATTCACGAGTCCCAGAAGGGCGCAGGGTGCCGCATCAGGATTCTATTGACGAGCCGATTCGATGCCCTTATTCAGGGACGATATCCCAACCTTGCCACGACACATGTCATTCTTGCAGAGAACATGCGTCCCGACATCCAGCATTACGTTGCGGAAGAACTTCAAGCGCGCGTCGCAAAAGGTGTGCTCAAAGTCAGGAACAAAGACATTTTGACCTCAATACGACAACAGGTCGTCCTCCGTGCGGGCACGTAAGTCTCCTACGTCTTGCGTCCTCTGGTCCTCCACCTAGCTTCACAGCTATTCATCTACCCGTCATGATAGATTACTAATACAATGCAGGATGCTACAGGCGCGTCTGAAGATTGACTACATTTGTACGGCGAAGTCAGATAAAGAGATCAAAATCATCGTGCAAAATTTACCGCATGGGCTTGGACACACGTACGAAGCACTTTTGTGCAATATCGCGACGCGGTACCCAACAAGGATTGAAGAGGTACAAAAGTTGTTCCGGTGTCTTATTGCTGCTGCGACACCATTGACTGCTCCCGAGCTAGCGGAGATTTTGGCCATGCAACCCGATGAGCGCGACTTGGATCATGATGCCGTGGTCACAGATCCTTACGACGCTTTGGAACCTATCTCCACACTCATACGGATTGAAAGTTCCGAAGATCAGCGCAGTTTGATAAAACTATGCCATTTTACCCTAGAGGAATATCTTACCTCCACTACTATCCAGCAAAGTCCGGCTAGTCAATTCTATGTGTCTGATAGCGAGGCAGAAGCATGGATGGCCGATATATGCCTTCAATACCTCACCATGGATACCTTTAATGTGCCACTAGAGTACGGCATAGATCTGGATCATCATCAAGATTATGCATTTCGCAGGTACGCGGCACTCAACTGGTACAATCATGCGGGCGCTTCAGTATATCGCTTATATCCATTTGACCCGTCCCGCCTTGCTCTCAGCAGATTTCTGGATGCTGAGGAAGGACCACCTTGCTATAAGAGATGGCAGAGCCTGATTGCGAAGATCCTGCCCAATGCCGAATTCCTTGGCTATTCGCCAACATGTATGTGCATCTGGGCCGAGTTGTACGTTACCGCAAGGGAGCTGTGCCAACGGCTACCGAACATGGACTACCATTTCGAAAATGGCCTCACCTGCCTTACAGTTGCAGCAAAGGAATACGATCACATGCTGGTCAGATATCTATTAGATCATGGTGCAAAGGTAGACGAGCCAACTCACGAACAGGGACAGTTCAAAGCGTTGACTCCGTTGCATTTCGCAGCCGAATGGTGTGCGAAAGGGGTAGTGGATCTTTTACTAAACCATGGTGCTGATCCACACAGACCTTCTGCATCAGGCGCCACCCCGTTCTATCGAGCTTGTCGTGGCGGAGACCTAGACATAGTGAATCGACTCAAAGAGTGCGGATGCGACGTCAACCCGCGGAATTGGAGTAATTGGACGCCGATCTTCGAGGCAATCGAGCACGATCACGAAGACGTACTTGATCTCTTATTGAAGTGGCATGTTGATCTGTCGGTCGTTACGAACGCAGGCTGGACAGTACTGTCTTTCGCTAAAGCGCTCAAGAGAGAATCTATGTTGGAGAAATTGGAGCACGCTGTAGCTGACTACGGGGTTACCCTCCCTAAATATCCACTCGAAGACAGGGAAGGCCATTGTGAAGGGGATTGAGAGACCAAAGCACGAAGTCATCCTGTAGCATGCTTCAATGCTATATCGATGTAGAACCTATTCGTTCTCTTCGGTGTCTTCACAGCTGTCAAGGTCTTATCATGCTGAGTGTCATTGCCTCATTCAAAGAGCGAAATGAACATGTGAGTGGGGAGTTACATCGGCGGACGTATCGACCGTTGGGGTGAAGCAAAAGCCTTCGCTGGTGCCACGTACGCTTGCAAGTCCAAACGGACGCGTTCGTCGCACAAACGAAGACGGATGACAGTAAACTGTATCATGTAATCGCTGTCGCGGCGAATCGGTCGACGTAATGTATTTCTCCAGCAGGCACATTGAACGATTCTTGGTCAGACCGTGGCTGGAAACGTGGCTGAGGTGGCTGTGCTGTGTAGGGGTCCAGTTCGCAACCCATGTCGCTTGCGTGCTCGATGTCCCACCCCTCGGTCATCCCGTGTCCGATCGCACTTGCTCTATTCGCCCACGCCCACTCGATGGCTACCCCTCCAACTCTCCAGACGTGTCCGAACAAAGTGTAACCACGATCAGCCACCGCATTAATCCCGCAATTTCAGCTTCGGTGCATCCACGGTAATACTACGGGAGTTGGTGAGGTCGTTCTATGCTGTAACAGGCCACATCAAACTCTCTCATCCTTCCAGGACCATTTCTGTGCGGTGGCTTTGCGGTGCCACGATGAAGACTCAATCACTCACCATGACAGTTTTGGTGATGAGCTGCCGCTGAACCAAGGCACATCCGGACTTTGCCGAGATCTAGAGCGGTCCGAATGTACGGCTCAGCTTCACAGGGGTCACAGCGATAGTAATACAGCATAGGCGGGATGAACAACACCAAACCTGCTTTCGGCATTGCGGGGTGATAGAGGGGTAGGTTGCCCTCGAGAGGACGCATATAAAGAGGAAGAGGCCTGCCACGATAGTTAGTGTTCAGCAAACAGCAAGTAACTTCTCTACCACATATTCCAACCCTTCAGAGTCTCTCACTCAAACACATCTCTATCAACATGTCTTACAACGACAACGACCGCGAGGATCGTACCTCAGGCTACGGTAGCAGCAACCGTGAGGACAACGAGTACGGCTCCAAGTCTTCCGGGTATGGAAACGACCAGGACTCGTCCTACGACAACAAGAAGTCTAGCTACGGGTCGAATGACAACGACAGCACTTCGTACGGGTCCTCAAACCGTAAGAATGATGACGACGATACCTACGGGTCCGAGAAGAAGTCCAGCTACGGCTCTTCGGACCGCAACGACGACTCTTATGGGTCTGGCAACAAGTCCTCCGGATACGGCTCCTCGAACCGCAACGACAACGACGAGGACTCCTATGGTAGCAACAAGCAGTCTAGCTATGGCTCCTCCGACCGTAAGGACAGTGACGACACTTACGGTTCCGAGAACAAATCATCCAGCTATGGCTCATCGAACCGTAACGACAACGATGAAGACTCGTACGGCAGCAACAAGAAGTCCAGCTACGGTTCTTCGGACCGCAACGACAACGACAACAACGATTCCTCATACGGCAGTAACAAACAGTCCAGCTACGGTTCTTCGGACCGTACCGATGACAACGACTCATATGGAAGCAAGAACCAGTCGAGCTACGGCTCATCGAACCGCAAGGACGATGATGACTCGTACGGCTCGTCTAACCGCAAGACGGACAGCGACAGCTACGGCTCTAGCAACAAGTCTTCCGGTGGCTTTGGAGCTTCTGAAGAAACTTCCTATGGTTCCGGCAACACTTCATCTGGGTATGGAGGCTCTTCGGGCCGTGACGACAATGACTCGTACGGAAGCTCTGGACGCAAGAACGAGGACAGCTATGGCTCCAACGACCGCGAGAGCTCGGGATATGGTAGCTCAAACAGGAGAAGCGATGACTACTAAAGGTCGGTGTAATGCCATGAGGGTCGGTAGATTCGGTATGGCCGCTCATAGCTGCAAATCGTCGCTTGGCTCCCGTAGTGCAGTTTTTGCGCCGAGGCTACTATAGTATGTTTGTAGAAGTGCAAACCAATTGTACCCTAAAGACCCTGACCGCCAATCGATGAATCGCGTGACGTGACATAACATGCGAGCCCAGACAGCGCAGATGTTACTGTAACACTAGCGCGAATCATGACAGGGAAGCTTGCCGCGTGGTGTACGTCACTAGCGGGGCACTCTCATGCTGGGAGGGGCCCAGAGCTATAGCTGCCAGTCTGTCACTTGAAGCCTACATCCCCTTAAACACACATCTACGCATACACACTTTGTCAACACTCAACCTATTCACTCTTCTACTCACCACACGTTGTAAGTTTTTCACTCTCATAGGCATTGATCGGCTGCGAGCTTGGATGCTCGCCTCGGTCTAAAGAAGCTTCGCTGCTCCTAAGCATCGGAGCAAGCTTCTGGTGAAGCGTTCTGAACGTTCGTCAGGCTAGCAAGCATCGACGCTACGCTTCATAGTTACATCGACACTTCCAGAGTAGTGCAGCTTAGCGCATCAATTGCTAACACGTATAAAGACTCTCGACCCTACAAAATGTCCTACAACGACGATCGCCGCGAGTACGGCCAGGAGTCTGGCTACGGTGGCCGGGGAGACGACCGCCGCGGAAACGAACAGGGCGGATACGGCGGTGGCGGTGATCGCCGCGAAGAATACGGCCGTCCCCAGGAGGGAGGCTTCGGAGGACCTGCTCTTGGCGACGAAGAGAGGAGGGGTGGGGGTGGAGGTGGCTATGGCTCCTCAGGTGGCTACGGTGGGGGTGGTGAGCGCAGAGAAGAACATGGAAGACCACAGGAAGGCGGCTACGGGGGTCCTGCGCTAGGTGATGACAGACGCGAAGACCACGGTGGACGACGACAAGAGGGTGGAGGAGGATATGGCGGTGACCGCCCCAGTGGAGGTTACTCTGGTGGCGGAGGATATGGAGACGAAAGCCGCCAGGAGTCACGTCCAAGCGGTGGCTACTCAGGCGGCAGCGACAACTACAATGACCGTCCGTCTGGAGGCAGCAGCTACAACGATCGTCCATCCGGAGGCAGCAATTACAACGACCGCCCATCCGGAGGTGACAGCTACAATGACCGCCCATCAGGTGGCAGCTATGGAGGAGGTAACTCGGGAGGCTACGGCGGATCCGGTCACCATGAAGGTCAACAATCGTCTGGCACATCCTACGGCAGTGGCGGCGGCTACGGCGGCAGCTCAGATGATTTTTCTGGTGCAGCCCAGCACGCATCGAGCGAGTCTGGAAACAGTGGCGACAACGACCTCTTCAGCAATGTCCTCGGCATGCTGTCCGGCAAGAAGGACAAGCTCAAGGATGAGGATGTTGACGAAGATGATGCTGTCAAGCAGCACGAGAAGTTCTATGGTAGCGGTGGCCACGGCGGTAACGAGCAAGCCAGCTCAAACAACGTCGGAGCTGCTGCTGCTATGCAAGCCATGAAGATGTTCAACAACAGCAGCAACGAGGATGCCAAGGGCGGACAGAACAAGTTCATCGGTATGGCCATGGGACAGGCGGCCCAGCTTTTCGACAAGCAGCAGAGCGAGGGCAAGACCGTAAGTCACAAGTTCAACATACCTGGTATCGTTACTGACACGCGTAGGACCCGAGTGCTACTAAGCAGGATGCCATTGCGCAGGCTGCACAGCTGGCTCTCAAGTTCTACTTGAAGTCGCAGATGGGCGGAGGCAGTGGTGGTGGTAGCAGCGGCGGCTCTGGAGGTCTTGGGAGTGTCTTAAAC